CAAGACACTGTCTTAGGAGGCTTTTTTCTTCACTGAATTAACTTTTTTTAATTGTCTCCTTTTCCATAGCACTCTCTTGGATGTCTCACTCAAGGTAAAGGAAACTCACTTCATGGTTCAATTTCTGTTTTTCAGTGTGTTTGGTTTTTATTATTATTACTACTGTTATTTTGTATTCCTGGTTTTACTGAGGTTTTTCTTACTCTCTTTTCGAACTCTTTAGGCACAGCCAGACTCGTGACCGGGTGAATGACCGGAACGTGAAGAATATGTACCCTCCTCCTTCCTTACCCTCTAATAAAGCTTCCACTGTGAAATCTGCCGAGCCCACCCCAGCGGAGCCTGAAGAGCTGTCAACACCCATGGCCCAGGCACTCCCATCACCAGCTTCAACTGCAACCCCACCACCAACCCCCACGCACCCCCAGCCATTAGCCCTCCCACCCTTGGCTACAGAGGAGGCTGAATGTCTGAATGTTGATGACCAGGATGAAGGGAGCCCAGTCACCCAGGAACCTGAGCCAGCCTCAGGGGGTGGGAGTAGCAGTGGGATTGGCAAGAAGGAACAGCTGTCTGTGAAGAAGCTTCGAGTAGTACTGTTTGCCCTATGCTGTAATACTGAACAGGCAGCCGAACACTTCCGGAACCCGCAGCGACGCATCCGCCGTTGGCTTCGGCGCTTCCAGGCATCCCAGTGGGAGAATCTGGAAGGCAAATATTTGAGCTTTGAGGCAGAAGAGAAACTGGCTGAGTGGGTGCTGACCCAGCGAGAGCAACAGCTTCCGGTCAATGAGGAGACCTTGTTCCAGAAGGCCACCAAAATAGGGCGTTCTTTGGAGGGGGGGTTTAAGATCTCTTACGAGTGGGCTGTGCGTTTCATGCTGCGGCACCACTTGACTCCCCATGCCCGGCGTGCCGTGGCCCACACCCTGCCTAAGGAAGTAGCAGAGAATGCAGGACTCTTCATTGAATTTGTACAACGGCAGATTCACAACCAGGACTTACCCTTGTCTATGATTGTGGCCATTGATGAGATCTCCTTGTTTCTGGATACAGAGGTATTGAGCAGTGATGACCGAAAGGAGAACGCCCTGCAGACAGTGGGCACAGGGGAACCTTGGTGTGATGTGGTGCTGGCCATTCTGGCCGATGGCACTGTCCTCCCCACCCTGGTTTTCTACCGAGGACAAATGGACCGGCCCGCTAATGTGCCAGACTCTATATTGCTAGAGGCAAAGGAAAGTGGCTACAGTGATGATGAGATCATGGAGCTGTGGTCAACCCGAGTGTGGCAGAAGCACACCGCTTGCCAGCGCAGCAAAGGCATGCTCGTGATGGACTGTCATCGCACTCACCTGTCCGAGGAGGTGCTGGCCATGCTCAGTGCCTCTAGCACTTTGCCTGCAGTGGTCCCGGCAGGCTGTAGCTCCAAAATCCAGCCATTAGACGTATGCATCAAACGAACAGTCAAGAACTTCCTGCACAAAAAGTGGAAGGAGCAGGCTCGGGAAATGGCAGATACTGCGTGTGATTCTGATGTCCTGCTGCAACTGGTGGTGGTCTGGCTGGCCGAGGTACTGGCTGTCATTGGGGACTGTCCAGAGCTGGTTCAGCGATCCTTCCTTGTGGCTAGTGTTCTGCCTGGCCCTGACGGCAACATTAACTCACCTACAAGAAATGCCGACATGCAGGAGGAGCTAATTGCCTCCCTAGAGGAGCAACTGAAGCTGAGCGGGGAGCAGTCTGAGGAGCACTCGGCTTCCACCCCCCGACCCAGGTCATCTCCCGAAGAGACAGCTGAGCCTGAAAGCCTTCACCAGCTCTTTGAGGGTGAAAGCGAGACCGAGTCCTTCTATGGCTTTGAAGAAGCTGACCTAGATCTGATGGAGATTTGAGTGTTGGGGTCTTGAGGGCGTATGAAGTGGGGGTGGGAAAGTGTGAGGGAGGGTAGAGGGGCTTAGGGGAAAGGGGGTATACCAGGTGGGGTATTTGGTTTATATTTTTTAATTTTATGCCACCACTGCCCCCTGATGTTGACTTATACTTCCCTGTGGATTTGTGGATTATTAGGAAAACCAATAGTAATCACATCTGAGCCGAAGAGCTGGCCCATTGGTCATTCATTTATGATGATAACAGGTTTTTGTGAATTTTTGAAAAAATTTAAATCACTGTGTTTGGTATTTTTCTGACAAAACAAGAAAAGAAAAAAAAATCCTTTGTGGACGAATGTTAATTTTTTTTGTTTCCCCTTTTACCTCAATTGTATTATAGTACATCTGGTTTGTTTTACTGTGTGGCCAATGTCTGGGCATGATGCTATCCAACCATTGTCAATGTGAGAACATTTCTGAAGATGGGAAAGAAAAATTGTAGCTCACAAACTGGTTTATTATATATATGGATAAACTTTTTTCATTGTGGTCTTAACACTTTTATATAAAAATGAAAATGGAAAAAAAATCCCACTGAACTCTCTCTTCCTTCTCCTTTCTTACCTTCCCTCTCCAGAGAAGTTGGTTTCTACAGCAACTCGATATAAAATTGTGGCTTTAAAAATGCATGAAACCACCTTTAATCATCCAGGATGATGAATAGATCTTTTTCCTCACCACCCTCCCAACAAAAATATGACAAAACCAATATCCTTTGCACTTGCGATCCTTGGCCCCTTTTCCCATTCTCACACCATCACTCTGGACAAAGGATCATACATGTCATTAGCCAGCAAGAGGTACTGAGGTGATCACAGAGTTAGGGTGGAAGCCATTCCCAGTGTGGGGTCTTCATCCTGCAGGCCCTCTGGGGGCAGTCCCTGCTTTGTTGAACTTCATCTTAAGTGGACAGTGACTGATCAAGTGACCACATTCCTACAGCCAGGAGCTAATTGTGCAAGAAATTAAGTGTTGAACTTTAAAAAGAAAAGACAGACCACTTGCTGAAATCCTGCTTTCTCCTGTTTCTCTTAATGCTTAGTGAAGAATCTGACCTGAAGAAGAAATACATGGGGGTGTGCACAGAGAAAAAGACTTCAATCTTTATTTTTCACTGCCAGCATCAAGGAAAGAAAAAATTTTTCTACGGTTTGCATGAGGGATTTTTTTTTAAGTTGTATGTACTCATGGTTATAAACTGAAATGTACTGTAACAGAGAAAAGGAACAAAAATCCAGGTCCACCTTTCCCACAGCTACACCATTCTGTCCACCCCAAGTCTTTCAGCAACGTTTCCTTCCTAAAGCCAAGACAGCAACCTGCACAGGCTTGTAAATGGTTCATCTTTAAAATGTACGTAAGTGGAACATTAATAAAATGAAGGGAAATGAGTTTATAAAACAATGTTTTTTTTCCTAGGTGCCCCTATTCTAATAGGTTTCAGACTGGCAGATGCTCAAGATGTGATGGGCCTGATGGTACAGGTGTGACATTTGTTACCCCTGTTTGTCCTCACCCCCACTTTTTGTTTGTTTTTTAACCCCCAGAAGGCTATAATATAGTGATCTGGAGGGATCCCTCCCGTAAACAGCGTGGCCAGCATCTAAAAACTGAACTGAGGATCCATCTAGGCTTCTCTTCCCCAGCTTTTTGCCTGATACCATTTTGACAGAGTTATGGATTTTCGAGTCAATCCTTTGCCTTTCAGAAAGATCAAGAACTATGGTCAACTCAATCTACAACGACCTAATCATTTTTGGTAGTCTCCACAGCAGCCCAAACGTAGTGGAGCTGGGCTCCTGGTCTCTGCACACTGAATGACTTCCTTGAGGGGCAATTTTTTTAAGACCGTATTACCAACAGTGGGTCAGCTGAGTTTTGGCCAGGAAGTTATTGTGGATTCTGCCCGCATGGCTTTAGTGTAGTAGATTAGGTTTTTTTTATAATTCAGTTTAATCAATAAAATATTTATTGCCTACTTTCTGTGTTGAGACTATAGAATATTCAAATTGAAAGCTCATGGTTTTCTTTTGCTTTAATGTACTGGTTTGTTGTAATCATGGATGATACAACAGAGAGGTGTTCTGATTTCTTCCTCCTTTCTCACCTCACTGAATTTCTGTACGTTTTTGGGTTTGCTGTCTGTACTACTTTCTCAAAAAGAGGTTTAGAGAGGATATGCCTCAGAATTACCTAGGGTGTTCATTTTTATATTTTTTGTTTTTTATTTGGGAGGTGTTCATTTTTAAATAGAGTTTAACACCATTCCGGGGATGGAATTTGGTTGCTACCCCAACTGATTTGACTCACAGCTACACTTAGGGCCTTTTAATAAACACACAAAACTTGTAAGTTTTATGGCGATGCTAGAAATTAGTAGGTTCGAACAATAGACATTTAGGTTCAGTGTTGAAATTACTTAGTATTTCCTAAATGGAAGTTAAATGGGAGGATTGAGGCTGTCAGTTCCAGCTCGGGGGTAGCCTTATACAGAACAGCTCCGCTAGATGCTCCATTTTATCTTTAAAATGGTGTTTTTACTAAAACTACATTTGCAGCCAACATTAACCAGAAACTGTATTTTAGAATCTAGTGCATGGGTGGAAATGTCGAAGAAAAAAATTAAACACAAAAGCCAATTAGGGTATCCCACAGGGATTAAGCCTGGCTTCTACACAAAGCTGCCTTCACAAATGAAGACAGCAGTGGGTCTTCTGTATTGTCATGCAGAGAACTCCAGCTGCTAGAACAGTGGTTCTCAACCTTCCTAATGCCGCGACCCTTTAATACAGTTCCTCATGTTGTGGTGACCCCCAATTTCATTGTTACAAATTGAACATAATTAAAGCATAGTGATTAATCACAAAAACAATATGTAATTATATATGTGTTTTCCGATGGTCTTAGGCGACCCCTGTGAAAGGGTCGTTCGACCCCCAAAGGGGTTGCGACCCACAGGTTGAGAACCGCTGTGCTAGAAGAACCAATAGCCAGAAGGTTCTCAGATCAGGGAGGAAATGGCCCATTCTTGGTGTGACGTAGTCAGACAAAATACAACTACTCAGCAAGTGTTTCAAAAGATTTATTTTACAAAAGAAAAGTCGACCTCTGAACCAGCCAAGTTCAAAGTTGGAAGGAGAATACAACTTCAGCTCTAGATAATACGTCTGTATTTCATTCAAAGCCACTAAAAAGGAAGAGAGCATTAATAAATTTGTGAAGTGATAGGGAAAGGAATCAATTCCTAAAAGCAGTTCTATTGAACCAAAATGCATGCCACCCAGAGAATTTGGGGTTAAGACTGAAAAAAAAAAAACCACACAGCTTAGTGCAAGCCACGGGGCCTCCCAACTCTTCTACCACCTATTTTTTCCATTATAATTTTAGTTTCAATCACCTGATCATGTGGGCAATATCCCAGTTGGTTTCTGCCGAAAGTGGTCCTTCTATTTCAACACCTTTTTCGGTTACCGTGGCAATTTGAAACTGAAAGAAAGCAGAGCTCTCAATGAAAATGCCCACCCCCACAAGAAAGAAGCCTGGGGCTGGTCAGAGGTCAAGTAGAGAGTCTTTCCCAAATAAGAAAATAGGAGACAGAGAAATGGGACAAACTGCCCTTCAAAGCACAGAAACCCTTGGCATTTGCAAGTATGGAGAACCTGGCAATGAGATCCCCTTCACCTTCATTATTCATTCCCCTCCTCACCCGGTTGTAAGAACGGGCATCCCGGTAGTACAGCACCCGCATGCAGCGTTCCACTAGGTCTCGCGCCTCAGTCTGGCTCAGCACTGGCTGCTTCTCCAGAACTTCTCGGAGCAGAGGCTAAGGAGATTAGGGAAAAACATGGGAGATATCAGGGGCTGACCACCTGGCTGTTCGTCTCAAATCCATGGTGTAATACGCACAAATGAGTGAAAAAGTAACATTCCACCTAGTGCCTCACCAGAATACGTACTCTGTTTACTTGTGCTAAGACCCACCTGAAGGGGAAGTTCTAGAGTTCCTCTCTTTGCACATGTCTACTGACTCCTGACCATGCCTTGTCAGTGGAATGCAAATGCCACACTTACAGCCTCTAGACTACAAAGAGAACCATCTGCCGAGCCATAGGGATCCTAGCCTGTTCCTGATGTCAGAATTATAAGGTAAAAGCAAGCACACAACCACTAACCCCCACGGCCTGCTCTCTTCCCCTCTGCCCCCACCTCTCCACTCACTACTTACCTGAGCCAAGTATGCACCATAACCAGTGGCCAGTGAAGGGGCTTCATAGGCTACGCCAAGCATGTCCACGTAACCGAGGAAGCTAAAAGGACACAATCCGTCAAAGAACTAATTTCATCTTAAGTTTCTGCATCCTCGCTGAAGTATGGGACCATGGGGTCTAAGAACTAGGAGTTACTCAGGGGGTAAAGATAAACACATTACACAGGCACGGCAGGTTAGGTTGCCAAGCAAATGTTATTTGTACTCAAATCAACCTCTCTCCATCCGAATAGCCTCCAATGACCATGGTGTTCCACAGGGGGTTCATCTTGGAGCGGCGGCTGTACATGGCCCTGGTCAGCCACGAATGAATAGCTCTAGGACTATAGCTGTGCCCGTCTCCCAGCAACTCCTCATCAATCCTTAAAAAAAGAAATGGGCGTGAGAATATTAAAATCGGGATCTCCACCCCCCATCTTCCATCCCCTACAATTCTCCCCGTCCTCTGCCTCGAGTGCCTCCACCTTAGAACTTCTTAAGGAGATGAAACACACACACACGCGCGCACACACCAGCGACCCCCCTGCCCACGTGGGAACTACGCCCTGTTCTCTAGATGACTTACACCATCTGGCCGAGGACCTGCTTCACATACTGGAAATCAGCGTAGTCTCCGGAAGCACCCAGCATGGTGCTGTCATTGACTCGCATAATGCGAGAGATGTTGCGGAAACGGGCCAAGGAGCCGTAGGAACCCAGCATGTCTGCGGCAATCACCACTCCGCCGTCAAATTTCACGCCCAGGACCGAGGTCCCGGTCACCATGGGGCTCCTGGGGACAGAGGGGGTGGGGGGTCTGCAGGGCGGCGCGGGGGGAGCGCCCGAGTCCTCTCCCTGCGCGGTGGGTTCCCCTTCGACTTCCCAGAGCCCCATTCATTCCCCAAGACTCCGTGCCCCTCGCTGCCCCTCGCCTTCCCCTGCTCCCTCGGAACCCTCGGCCCACAGGCCCACACCCACCCCTGCGCAAGCTGGGGCGCCCCGAGCTTACTGGGTGCGCGTGATCGGACCCCCGTGGAGCGCGGACGCCGGGTCCACCAAGGAGCCGGGAGTTGGCGGGATGCGATAAAACTGCCCGGGGGCCGGACCCCCAGCCCAAAGTCCGGCCCGCGACTCCCAAACCGCTTCCATCTTAGTCACGGCAGCAGAAGAAATGAAAGCGCTAGCGCCAGCGGAAGCGGAAGTGATCCTTCAGTGCCACACTTTTCCTCTTCCTGCCAGCGGCTCCCGGCGGCCATGCGGATGAGGTCACTCGGGGCTTCCGTCCTTCCGGGGGCGGCACCCAGGCCCGCAGAGTCCGCCTGAGAGTGTGGACCAAATCGGGGCTCTCCGAAGCCCAGATTTAAGGAAGACCGGGTGGTGTGGGAGGCAGGTATGGGGGCGTTAGGGGGGCCTCCAAGACACTTCCCCTGAGCGCGGAGGCAGAATTTCTCCTGCCCATTTTGGACCCTTATCGAAATCCCCACATGAGACTAGTAGTGAATCAGCCTACACCGAGTTTCTCAGAGCATCCCCACATGGCAGGCATTATCGGCTTACACTATAGGTAAGAGACCGAGGCGTGGGTGGTAGTGATTTACCCGATCCCACAGCTAGTGGTGGCAGCTCTGGGTCTTCAAACCCAGTAGGTAAAAAGGAACCGTACAGTTATGCCTGTCTCTCACTCCAGAGGACCAAGTTTTCTCATGAGAACATGCTCTTGCCCACCGCTTAAGCAGCAGAAAAATTCCACCGACTGTGGGAGTGAGACTAAATTCCAGGGCTTCGCTTCTGATTCTGTGGTCTAACCTGGAAGCAGTGTCTAGAGAATCAAACTGGGAGGGAACCTAAAACCACTACTTGGGCAGCCCTCCCTACACAATTTGAATGTCAATTTTTTTTTTTTTTACTCAGATGGAAACCAAATTGATTTTGTTTCTTAAATTTCCTGAGTTGATTTGAACCAAAGCAATGCATGACATTTTAACCTTATTGAAAAACAAAATATTTTATTAGATCATGAAACCCTGGAAAGGGAGGAGTCAAGAATTTTGCATGGCCCTAGCTCGTTTTGCTCAGTGGATTGAGCGTCGACCTGCGGACTAAAGGGTCCCAGGTTCGATTCCTGTCAAGGGCACATGCCCAGCTTGTGGCTCGATCCCCCAGTGGGGAGCGTGCAGGAGGCAGCTAATCAATGATTCTCTCTCATCATTGATGCTTCTATCTCTCTCTTCCTTCCTCTCTGAAATTAGTTTTAGAAATATATATTTTTTTAATCTTTTTAAAAAAGAAGAATTTTGTATGTTAGAGGCACCCAACTCTTTATATCAACTTTTGATCTTGAAAAATCAGTACTCTTTTTTTTTTTTTTGGCTTTAATTAATAGCCACCCACAGCCCAAGCCCCATATTCCAGGTGATTTTGGGGCCATTCATCGGCTTACTTGAACAAAAAACAGATGCTCCGGTGTGATGACAATGGGCTTACTGGAATTCCTCAAAAACCCATAAGTGCCTCCCTTTTCCCCACTAGAGCCCTCATCATATGAACTTAAATCAATCAGCCAGCAATGAACTGGCTATATCCTTGTTTAGAAGTGGCCAGAGGTGGCTGCTGGTTTCTGGTCTCACTCCTTTTTAAGTCTCTAGATTAAGGCTCTGATAGGGCCAGTTTTGGTTCCAGAGGTCTGGCAGGTAGCCAAATTCCATAGGGCAGTGGTTCTCAACCTTCCTAATGCCTCGACCCTTTAATACAGTTCCTCATGTTGTGGTGACCCCCAACCATAAAATTATTTTCGTTGCTACTTCATAACTGTAATTTTGCTACTGTTATGAATCGTCATGTAAATATCTGATATGCAGGATGTATTTTCATTGTTACAAATTGAACATAATTAAAGCACAGTGATTAATCACAAAAACAATATGTAATTATATATGTGTTTTCCGATGGTCTTAGGCGACCCCTGTGAAGGGTCGTTCGACCCCCAAAGGGGTCGCGACCCACAGGTTGAAAACCGCTGCCATAGGGTCTTAAAGCAGAAAAGTGAAAGGATCTGGAATTATCCAGCCGAAGAGGATGGCCCAGAAAGCAAACCAACATTTGATGGTGCAGGACTCAGAAGGTGACCAGCAGTGTTCTGTTCTAAGGTGAGCTCAAAAAGACATGAGTTAAACTTGCAACAAGGGAATTTTTGGAATATTTCTTTTTCTTTTTAAAGCAGGTCTGATATTATGGAGGAACACTTTTAAGTGTACCCATTTTCTGTGGTTGTCTATTACTTTGATTTTTATTAGCATTTAGCTCCCAACAAGTTTAAGTTTTTAAGTCAGTAATGACTGGACTGGGTTTTATAATATGCAGAATGTCCTTGGTTATAGGAAATGTCCTGAAATTCTCAGAAAATAAATAAAACTAAACCACTATGACCACCATCTCATAAACATTTCCACTACTCCGTTTTTGTTTTTTTAGGAGAAGTGAAAAATGAATCTTCAACTACAAAAGAGTTACATAAGCATCTTTTCCCGAATTGCGTAAGCCTGGCCCCAGGGACTATAACACAAAGCTGAGAGAGAAAACTTGTCCAGCTTGCCCATGGCTGCACTGCTCTGCGGGTCTCCCCTGAGGAGTTTGCAGTTTTACACCCTCTGTAGTTCAGTTCTACAATATCCCTCTCAGAGCATGCGCCACACTTGTTTGGAGACAGTCTGCCTCGCTAAACTAAAAGACCCACCAGGGCAGGAACTGAGGTTGGCTTTTGACAGTGCCCTTTGATACGCAGAAGATTTGAATTTTGACATAGTCCTAGTTATCTATTTTTCTTTTGTTCCCATATTTTTGATGTCATATCCATATCTTTGATGTCAATATTCAAGAAATCATCGCCAAATGCAATATCATGAAGATTTTCCACTGTGTTTTTTTTTCCCCCCAAAAGTGTTCTTGTTTTAGCTCTGATGTTTAGATCTTATCTGTTTTATGTTAATTTTATATATGGTATTTTTAAAAAAAGGATCAACTTCTTTTGCATGTGGATATCCAGTTTTCCCAGCACCATTTATTGAAAAGACGGCCTCTTCTTCATTGAATGGTCTTGACACCCATTAATCTATATGTCTGTCTTTACTACATAGTTTTGATTATTGTAAATTTATAGGCATTTGCCACTCATTTATTTTCCACATGAACTTTAAAATAATCTCTTCTATTCCTTCAAATCCATGGTAATCCCTAATGGACAATAATTACTAAATAATTTGAGAATGACTTTTTATATTAAATTTTCCCAGCTAGAAATATTGTTCACCTTTCCATAGAATCATTTCTTGATCTTTAAGAATTCATCTTTTTCCTCATATAATTTATGGATATTAAATTTATTATTTTTAATAATTCTGTGAACATAATTCACTACATCAATAAAGTAAGGGAGAGAACCCATAGGATCATACAAGCAGATGCCCCCAAAAAAACACTTTATGAAAATCAGTAGCCATTCCTAATAAAATTCTGCAAAATAGGAATGTAAGTACAAGACATGAACATAATAATGCCTTTTTGGCAAAAACTAATGATACAGATATTAATTGCTGAAGTATCCAAATTAGAAACTAGACAAAAAGTCCACTATTACAAGGGTACCCTTTTCTCCACATCCTCACCAACACTTGCTATTTCTTTTTTTTTTTAATAATAGCTATTCTGCCCTAGCCAGTTTGGCTCAGTGAGTAGAGTGTCAGCCTGGGAACTGAAGGGTCCCAGGTTCGATTCCGGTCAGGGGCACATGCCCGGGTTGTGGGCTTGATCCCCAAGTGGGGGACTTGCAGGAGGCAGCCGATCCATGATTCTCTCTCATCATGGATGTTTCTATCTCTCTCTCCCTCTTCCTTCCTCTCTGAAATCAATAAAAATATTAAAAAAAAATAGCTATTCTAACAGGTATGAGGTGATATCGCATTGTATTTTGATTTGCATTTCCCTGATGATTATTGATGTAAAGACATTTACATGGACCTGTTGGCCATCTGTATGTCTTCTCTGGGAAAATGTCTATTCAGATCGTCTGCCGACTTTTTAATCCGATTTTTTTTTTTTTTTTTTTGCTATTGAGTTGTATGATTTTCTTATTTATTTTTGGGTATTAACCCCTTAACAGATATATGATTTGCAAATATTTTCTCCCATTCACTAGATTGCCTTTTCATTTTGCTGACGGTTTCCTTTGCTGCACAATTGTTTGTTTGTTTGTTTGTTTTATTGCTGGGTAATCACCATGGTGTGGATGTACCACAGTTTGTTTAATCATCCACAGGTCAAGAGACATCGCAATTGTTTCTTTCTAGTTTGGGGCTGTTATGAATGAACGTGGTATAAGCATTCCCGTACGAGGTTTTGTGTGTGCTGTTCTCATTCTGGCAACTGATCCTGATACTGTGGTTGGCTGGTATTTATGACTTTCCTCTTGTTCCCTTGTCTTAATAATAGCTAACATTTATAGAGTGTTTGCTACATGCTGGGCCCTGTCCTAAGAGCTTTACAAGTATTACTCACATAATTCTCAAATAGCCACTCGAGGTCTGAGCTATTATTATCCACATTTTACAGGTGTGGAAACTAAAGGAGAGAGAGGCACACAGAGAGCATGTGTTGGCGCCCAGGTTTGAGCCCAGGTAGTCTGGCACCAGAGCTCAGCCTCTAAACCACTCAGTCAGACAGCCAGGGCTAAGATGGCTCTTTCCTTATGGAGCGACCTACACCTTCACTCCTGGAGGATCTGAACGCTCAGTTATCTTGCTTCTGCTGCTTTAGTCTTTTGTTAATTTAACTCTAGACATGGAGGTAGGAGGCATCCCTCGGGTATCTCCCTCCCTGACCCTGCCATAGGACAGGAACATTATTATTTATTTCTTTTTTTTTTAATGTATTTTATTGATTTTTTACAGAGAGGAAGGGAGAGGGATAGAGAGTTAGAAACATCGATCAGAGAGAAACACCGATCAGCTGCCTCCCGCACGCTCCCCACTGAGGATGTGCCCACAACCAAGGTACATGCCCTTGACCGGAATCGAACCCGGGACCCTTGAGTCTGCAGGCCGACGCTCTATCCACTGAGCCAAACCGGTTAGGGCGGAACATTATTATTTCTAAATCATTAGGATCAATCACCCAGCTAATATCTTGTCCCCCATTTCTGCCCCAAATGGCTGAGTAGTTGTCTCCGGTTCCAGTTCAAGGAACTATTGGTGTCTCCTCTTTGTACTGGATGCCAAACCTCAAAACCAACAGAGCCCAGAGTTGAGCCCTGCAAGCAAAAATGTTGTGAATGGGTTATTAGGGGAAAGAATGAGAGGTTCCATCCCACCTCTCTCTGTTCCTGGGCCCAGCATGGACTCTGGTTGCTGGTTCAGAGGATAAACTATACTCTAGACTTGGAGGGTTTGGCCATAACTATCTTCCTGTAATATAAGCTGGAATGATTTTTCTTCTCAATATCTTTCCTGCATAACTTCTCCTGGAGCCATTAGAACAGACTGAGGAAGGAGATGCTATTTGGCAAGAGAGGGAAGGCTAGAGAGCACGCCAGGGCACCCTGTGGCTTCTTTGTTTCTCAGGGATCTTCTCAGGATCCACCCTACTTGAGGATGAGGAACCCTGGGGCTTGTGAGACCTGGGCCAGCGAGGTGCTTTGGGTCTCAAAGTCACGTGGTGTCCCACGGTCCCATATTTGGTTTCTATTGGGACCAGAAGCTCTCAAAAGACCATCAAGGGAAGAACTGTTACTTGCTCAAGTGGCCTGGGCCTCAGCATCCCTTTTGGGCCACCTCCTGGGTTTGCTTGCCACAGCCTCCTGGATCCCCCCAATTTGTCAAGCAGCGCTGGTTCCCTGAATGAAAAGGCCCAGGGGTGGGTGTACTTGAACTGCTGCTGGGAGCAGCCAGAGACCCCACCCTCAGAACACTGCCTCTCCTCAGACTCCAAGTGCAGCCCTGGCTGCACCAGCGGAGCTTGAGCCGGGAGCTTCTGCAGCTTGGGACCAACCCCATCCTCACCTGCCCCCTCATCAAGCAAAGCCCACTCCCCACTGTCCCTCCTCTGTGTCAGAGTCCTCCTTGGGCCCACCTGGCTGTCCAAGCAAGTCACATGCTTGCTCCTGGCTGCAAGGGGACCCGGGGAAATGAACATCTGGCCTCTGGTTCCTATAGGGGCGGTGGGTTCTGTCTCCCAATGAACATAAAAAGGGCTACATTGCCCTGGCTGGTTTGGCTCAGTGGATAGAGCGTCGGCCTGAGGACTGAAGGACCCCCGGTTCTATTCTAGTCAGGGGCACGTGCCTGGGTTGTGGGCTCGATCCCTAGTGGGGAGCATGCAGGAGGCAGCTGATCAATGATTCTCTCTCATCATTGATGTTTCTATCTCTCTCTTTCCCTCTCCCTTCCTCTCTGAAATCAACAAAAATACATATATAAAAAAATATATTTTAAAAAGGGGGCTACATACCCTAGCTTGTTTGGCTCAGTGGATAGAGTGTCAGCCTGCAGACTGAAGTGTCCCAGGTTTGATTCCGGTCAAGGGCACATGCTTGGGTTGCAGGCTCAATCCCCAGTAGGGGATGTGCAGGAGGCAGCCAATCAATGATTCTCTCTCATCATTGGTGTTTCTATCTCTCTCTCCCTCTCCCTTCTTCTCTAAAATCAATAAAAATATATTTTTTTTAAAAAAAGGGGGGGGGCTACATGTGCTAGCCAGTCCCAAACAATACAACACAAAGACCTATCTCAAGGAGCTGTTGTGAAGTTTGTACGACTTACTACTTTCCCGTGTAGTGGTCACAGACACAGTCTGAGCCAACCGCCTGGATTCAGATCCCGGGCCCTGCTCCTCACCAGCAGCATGACTTAGAGCGCGTTACATCCTTTGGGATGTTGTAACTTGCTTGTCTGTAAAACGGGCATACCGAGAGTGCCCCTTGGCAGGGTGGCTGTAAGGATCGCATCAAGCAGAGCATGTAAAGTGCGTAGAGAAGCACCTGGCACAGGGTAAGCTTTTAGCTTAGGGTGTGCGGTTCACGTCTTCGTGTTTAAGTGCGTAGACAGTACCAAGGACAAATGAAGCATTTTCTAGGTGGTAGCTGTTGTGGTTCTCATTATTACCTGTTTCTGGCCTACCTGTCCAGGTGTGTATGGACTGCATCCTAGAAGTGGATTCCTAGATAAAGTGGTCCGCACAGTTTAACTGGGGATAGGTACTGACGAATCGCGTTTGTTGACACAGTACCAGTTGACACTCACCAATCCTGAATGAGTGTGCCCTTTTCCTCGTCTTCTCACCAATACTGGATTTTAACCTGTTACACGGTCACTCATTGAAAAGGCAGCGGTGTTACTGTATTTATTCACTATTCAATTTTTAAATGATGCATGTATTTCAAGTTTACGATAAAATTTTAAAAATGCACCGTTGATACATGATGTGAAAAATAAAAATTGCTCTCTATAATCCCAGTCCTCAGAGGTCAACACTTGTAGTTGCATTTGGTATAATAAAAAAATCTTTTATCTCCACAAATTCTCTCCTATTATCATATAACCCCATGCATAATGTAATCAAATTAATTAACGTACATACCAATTATATATTACATATAAAGTAATATATAAAATAGTCAAGTTAATTAATTAAGACTATATGGTTTAACTGATTAATTTTATATATAGCTTTCATTAAATGGGACCATAGTGTTTTCTGCTTTTCCCCCCTCAGCATATTTCTTGGCTATCTTTCCATGCCAGTATATAGAAAGCTATACGTTACGGATGTTTCGTGACATGTGTAACTATTCCTCTATTGGTTTTTTCCAACTTTTCACTATTGTTAACAAGTTGCAATGAACATCCTATTCATATATCTGAGTACTCGTCTATTTCCACAGAGTAGGTCACTAGAAGTGGATTTCTATTAAAAATGATGCTTGGTGTTGCTAAATTGCCTTATAAAAATGTTCCACAATTTAATA